AACGGCGGCCCAAAAAACAAAAAACAACCGAAACCTACAAAAAATAATAATAAAATAAGGAGATAAATTTTTTACCTTTCACTTAGGGAAAAGTGAATTGATAAAAAAAATATAAGAAGAGGAAGCATGCTTATTTATAGTTGGAAGATTTCTTAAAAACACTTTGCCTATTTTTGGAAAAATTCTAGAAATTTTCCAGCAGGCCTCAATAACCACTAACGCATCAAGATCATCAACTCTATCAGTCTACCAAGAAAAAAAAAAATTACAAGCCCAGGAAAACATGCCGACATCGGCTCAACGCGGAATAACAGAAACTTCCCGAATTTGATGACAAGACATCTAGGCCTCAGTCTTCTAAGTAAAAGAAAAAGAAAACAAGTCCAAGAAAACACGCTGACATCGGTTCAACACGGAATAACGAAAACTTCCCGAGTTTGGTGATAAGACGTCCACGCTTGGCAACTTCACAGTCCAACATATCGTTCTCAGACATCAGAAACTTTACCTTGGCATCATCATAACTCGATACTGCCAAGCTGGGAGGCTAACTGTAGGGGTCGGATTTCACCCCTACGAGATCGATATAGCAACAAGATCAACTTTGCAGCGTCCTGACGAAATCGGATCAAAGCTACAAGGGTCCAGTCTAAATTTAGGTCCAAAATGACATTAAACTCATAATCAAAATGTGTTTAATGAAATAATGGGCCTAAATTATATATATTGCTTCAAGGGTCAAGCCCATTTTATTAGTTGGCTCATTTACTTAAAGTTATATATAGCTTATTGTATTCTCCCAAAAAGGGGTTGACAATTTTTCTCAGAAGAAACTCTCTTGTAATCAAAGATTAATAGAAACAGCAATAAAGAATTATCATTCTCAGTCTTTGTTCGAAGTGTGTCCGCGACATAGAAATCTCTAATCCCCAAACACCCTTGACAAATTTAACTGCGTGGATCTGACTCCCACATAAACCATGGAGTATTTTCGTTAAGCTAATGCATAAATAAAAGTTGGATTGTTTGTACTAAGCTAAATAAAGATGTAATGATAAAACGAGGAAGCAGGACTAAAATTAAATGCACTGAGTTGGAGAGTATTGAGCGAAGAGTTAGCAACTGATAAAGGGACAATAAATCATGGCTAATAAAGCTAAGGGGCTCGAGTTGAAGGTTCAATTTACAAGCATGGAACACGGAATCAAACTAGTCCACTTTCGTGGCACTAATTACTTTGTTGAGTATCTAGATCTAACTAACTTTCGCTGCTAGATTTAGGTATTCTCCAAGCATGACCGATCAAGTCCAATAAGCTCACATAGCGCCTTGAGATCAACTTTCGTGGTCAAGGATTACTAAGCCAAGCAAAAGGTCGTTCAGGAATTCTCACAAACACCTTTCGGGCAGTGGAACGCCTATCAACACGATTCGACAAACGAGTCAAAAGCAAGCTTTAAGCTCAACCTAAACTTGAGAACACTTCATGGATAACCCGAAGCGATGTTAGCTACTTTCTAAAGCCCCTAAATCTACTAACCCGAAGCTAAACAAAGAGACTATTCACTCATTGCTACGGAACAAGCCATGACCAAGCTAGGGTGATGCGTGAAACGTAAATGCATAAACGAAAGCGATCCGAGCACAGAGATTGAAACTTTAAGGAAAAGATTAAAACTTTATAAAGATAAGTACTTAGAACATCAAGAGATTAATGCTCTAAATAGTGATTACAACTAAAAACGTAAAAGGAAAACTTCTAAAAATGTAGCAAGCTGAAAACATAGGCTTTTCAGGGGCTAAAAACATATTTATAGCCCCTCATAACAGTACCAGGGTCGACTGAAATCGAACCGGAT